ATGCCTGAATGATCTTTGCTTTCTTATGGGTACCATTCACTAATACACAATGACTTCTGGCTATAGTTTGACGAGCACTAATATCCAGTGCCTATCGGCTCATCGGATTTTACTTTCTCGCATGTTATGCAGTGATATCCTGCACTTTGCTCATTTGTCGGAGGGTCCGATTGTTTGTTATGATCACGATGAGACACGCCAAGCATCCTTCCCTTCACTGATGTCTGTCTGCTTTTCTGCTTTTGTTAGTGGTTGCGCCTCGCATTTTTACGTCATTTACATTCAGCACAATTGTACTGAAGCTCTTTTCCGGGTCGACACTTGAGGGTTTAACATGATTTTATGAACTGTGCTGCAGCAAGTGGCACCAATTCAGTGCACAGTTTCTTACGAGAGGTGGTAATACATATTCAGTGGCCAAGAAAGGCGTATTTATCTGTTTCGCCCTAACCAGCATCATCTGTCTGCCATCTAACCGCGGTTTTATCAGCATTTTATTCGTTTACGGGCACTTCCTATAGTAAAAATTATGTCATTCAGTCGCTCTAGTTGGTTTTCTGCTCCTTTTTGATGCTCAGAACATTATGCAAATGAATATACAATCTAACAGAATTCTTCCTTTGGCATCTCGCCTAACACATCTTGTTGCATATGTAAGTCCAATTTGGATCGATTTGTTTGTCTAAGCTTTAATTTTCGCACTAAAAACAGATAGTTTAGGAATGTGGTCATATTTTCCGGATATATCCGGCAGAATTTGTTAAAAATAATAGGTGATTCTCCATACTGTGCAGCTCGTAACTTCCCCAATCAACTTTGACCTGTGCTGCGCCCCCTGCTAGCAACTCTAGCGTTTGTTTTGTTTTCGGATTAGCCCAACAGTTTTCTTTAAAAAACCGCTTCACCGGGTCTGCTTTCGAGCACCTCCGCCTGTTATGTGTACGGAGAAGGCACGAAATATGCCCGGAGAAGATTTTGAGTGAATTTTCGGGGGTTAACCTGATTGCTGCAATCTGCTTATTGTCAAGTGTTTGTACATATATCGCTGTCTCATTTGATAAGGTATAAAATAGTCAGCTGTCATTTTGTCGAAGCATACCTTCATGCGTATCTGCTCTTTCATTCCTGTCCAGATCGCCTGGACAGTCAATATGATGTTACTGGGATGTTCCTATATGCCGGGTGCAAATATGTTATCATTTTAAATTTCTAGTGTTCTTTCTCTGATTTGTTCATCTGATTGTGAATGCTTTTCAAAATAAAATTTTTGAATTTTTTTGATCTCTTCAAAAAATAGATGGAATTCCAATGAACGCAAATATGCCTAAAATTTCTTCTTGATACATCAGTTTGGTACTGTGATTAGTTGTTTTAATTCGAACTAGATTGCTTGTGATAATTTGAGTTTTTTGAACAGCTGCTAATCGGCTAGTGATTCAAAACGTGGTACAGAGAAGTCCGATGATTTGCAAAGTTTGATAATTGCAAATTC